ACATATACCAATATTTAACTGAAAAAAAAATTGCTATATTTATGAGGTGGGGAAAGTGATCGAATGATGACATAGAGCATTCTAAACATAAATTTCTATCTATCTATCTATCTATCTATCTATCTATCTATCTTCTTTCCGCTGACAACGATAAATACTGTTTTCTTGGAATTGATGTTTAGTTCTTTCTTCTCGCTTTCCTTCCCTACCTCCTGTAGGTGATTTTAAAGTTTCCATTCCGTATCTGTAGAGGACCGTCGGGCCGGGGGGGGGGATGAAGAGGAAAAGAAAACACGTGCGTTTATATTCCCTGATAGAAGGTCCAGCTACAATAAGGAAAATTTCGAACTCGGATTAAGTCCAACTGAAGATAAAGGAGGCAAACAAACAAGACTGATATATATTAAAACAAAATATGTGTATTAACAACACATTACAATGCACATAGACATTTAACATTGTGTGTGAACATGTGTGTGTGTGTGTGTGAACGTTCGTATTGTGGTAATGTTCATAGCGTTTTCCCAGAAATGGGAAACGCTGATCTTCTAAGAGCTTACATCTTGTCGCTGAAATGAAGAAGAAAGAGAGATTTACCTCACCTCCACGCGAGGTGGGATTCGGCGCAAGGCCTGAAGGAAAGAAGAGATAGAGGCAAGTGGTCGCCCGGTATGTATAGCATGGGGTCAGAGACCCCTGGTGAAGATTTGGGGAATTGAGGAGGCGGTAACTACAACAATCTGCTACCAACACTGTGTCATCTTCATATCTTCGGTTGTTAAGATTGTGGCCGCCAATAAGTAATCCTGGGAGGAATTCTAATTCTCTCAGAATCACTTCACTGTAATTGTTGGATAAGTCTGGCGAGAAGACACATCCTTGTCTTACACTCCTTTCTATTTTTGTGTATTTACTGAATTCCTTTTCTATCCGCTTACAGGAGTTTTTCTTCCAGTATAATTTCTGGATTATTCTAACAGAACAGAGGAAAACAATGCATTTTCTACTTAATGTAATCGAACAGAACAATTATTAGGATATATATTGATTGATTGATAGATTCGATTTTTTACGGCTTATCAACTCTCACGAGTTATTTAAAGTAAAAAAATATTTTTAGTTTGAAATTTTTTTTTAGATATGAATGCTTTTCTGATCCAACTCTTACTAATTAACCTATAGCTTGGGGTAGAATATGTGGATTCCTACCTTTCACAAGGTTATTTGCGCGTAAGGGAATATATCAAACCAAACAAGAAATGGAAATCTGCTCCCTAAGTAACAATTCTTTGCCATTATCCATTACGTCACCCTCATATCCACGCTTACTTCAGCTCGCTCGTCCTGGGTATGACGATAAACTACATCCGCGTACTGGGTAAGACGATAAACTACATCCGCGTCCTGGGTAAGACGATAAACTACATGCGCGTCCTGGGTAAGAGGATAAACTACATGCGCGTCCCGGGTAAGACGATAAACTGCATCCGCGTCCTGGGTATGACGATAAACTACATCCGCGTCCCGGGTAAGACGATAAATTACATCTGCGTTCTGGGTAAGACGATAAACTACATCTGCGTTCTGGGTAAGACGATAAACTAGATCCGCGTCCTGGGTAAGACGATAAACTACATGCGCGTCCTGGGTAAGACGATAAACTACATCCGCGTCCCGGGTAAGACGATAAACTACATCCGCATCCTGGGTAAGACGATAAACTACATCCGCATCCTGGGTAAGACGATAAACTACGTTCAACAGCAATTGTATTGTATTGTTGGATAAGTCTGGTGGATTTATGATATACATTAATCAGTTAATTAATATATTAAAAAAAAATCTACGCTGATATAACCGATATCATAATAATATCTGAAGTGATATTTTCGAATAGCTTTAGTCATAACTAAACGTTCCTAATGCCAAGACAAAAAAGAGCGATCGTTTTAGCCAGCTGATTGTCATTATGAAAGTATTTATTTTTCCTCGGAGATGTATTTCACTTCTCTTCTATCCCGATAGATCAATAACAGATTTCTAATTAAAGATGCTTCCAAACATGATATGTAATTTTTCTTTCATATGTCGACGTATTAACAATGCCGTGAAAGCTGCTTATCTAAGGAATTTTATCTGCTTTCTTCGTGTGAAAAGATTTGTTCGGCAAGAGATTCCGATCAAAGATTATTTGGTAAAAATTGATTTCGAATTAGGTCAAATACTCTGTGTCTTTTACCTTCTACATTGTATGTAACTGCTTCTATCTATCTATCTATCTATCTAACTATGTGAATCTATTCATATCAGTCCAAGTTTATTCATATCTATCTATCTATCTATCTATCTATCTATCTATCTATCTAAGTTTATTCATATCTATCTATGTATCTATATATCTATCTATCTATCTATCTATGTCAGTCTATTCATATCTATCTCAGTTTATTCATATCTATCTATCTATCTATCTATCTATCTATCTATGTCAGTCTATTCA